CGGCCTCTGCCTCGCGTGTCGTGAGGGCGAGGGGCGGGGAGGCCACCGCCGAGGGGATCGCGCCCTTTGCAGCGGCCTGGTCAGTTTCTGCCCTTGGCCCAGCGGGGCCTGGTCAGTTTCTGCCCTTGGCCCAGCGGGGCCTGGTCAGTTTCTGCCCTTGGCCCAGCGGGGCCTGGTCAGTTTCTGCCCTTGGCCCAGCGGGGCCTGCGCAGCTGCCCGGGGGCCTGGAAATGTCCACGCACGGACACGCCGTCCCCTGCCCGCGAGGGGCAGGCGGAAGGCGACAGAGGCCCTCTCCGGAGGAGGAGGAGGCCACGGGGCTCCGCCCGGGTCACGGGCGCTGCCCAGGGCCGGCCCCCCAGGTGGAGTCCTCCTGCCTGTGTCCTGGACTGTGGCGACATCACCAAGTTATAATTATATACAGATGTCATTTAAGAGGATAATGTGGAAGAGAAGTGACATTCTGGAAGTAACTCTTCAAGATAAACAATGAGAGGAAAAAGAAAAGCCGTAAGATTCCATGTCAACGACCTGCTGTTACTAGATACAACAGAGATCTTCCAAAAATAGTTTCCTGTGTTTGAAGTTATTTGGAAAAAAAAAAGAAGTTATTTGAGATGAGGTTTGACTTCGTGGGTTATACTGTTCTTTTTTTTTTTTTTATTTGAGTTGGAGTCTCACTCTGTCGCCCAGACTGGAGTGCAGTGGCCACAGCCTCGACCTGCTGGGCTCCTGCAATCCTTCCGCCTCAGCCTTCTAAGTAGCTGGAACTACAGGCACGCGTTACCACACCCGGCTAATTTTTGACTTATTGTAGAGATGAGGTCTTGCCAAGTTGCCCAGGTGGGTCTCGAACCCGCGGGCTCAGGCAATCCACTCACCTCGGCCTCATACTGTTCTTGAAGCCAGTTTATTTTATGAACTTAAAAAAAAATAATGACCAGCCACACTGTTTCTAGTATTTGGAACTGAAGTTGCACTAAGTTACATACCTTCTGTGAACCAGCACCTGTTTTCTCCTTGCTTCTGGAGATGAACTTTGAATTTTATTGTTTATTTGACACTCCATGAAGAAGGCCGGATCTTGTCGCAATCAGTACACCCAAGCTATGGGGTAATGTGTGGGTCATGTCCGGGCTCTGGCATTTGGCTAGGTGGCCTTGGCCAGCTCCTGAGGGTCCAAGCCTAGGTTTCCTGCTCTGAGCAGCCAGGGCAATGAGAAAGCTCTGGGTCGCCCAGCCACCTTCTCAGGACACGTGAAAAGGAGATGGTGTCAAACCCTGTTGTCTGGTGTCTGTTTGGGAAACTCCTTTCTTGGGAGAACCAAGCCAAGGCAGGTGGTTGTTTCTAGAAAAGGTTGGCACCTGTATTTGATGTTACTTGCCTTAATTCGCACCCTAGGAAGCTCATCCCACTTCGGGGACTATTTCTTCTACCAGTTTCCATCCCCAACAACTTCAGTAAGTAGATCAAAGTTGGATCTATGATTTTGAAATATAACATATAAACGTTTTTTGAGTGGTAATGAGGATGTAATATGCAATATAATTTGTTGCCTGATTAGAATTTATTATACAAATCATCTGTTCCTGGAACTTGTTCTAACTAGTACAATTGTGGAAAATTATGAAGACTCTGATTTTAATTTTCTTTTTTTTTTTTTTTTTTTTTTTTT